TTTTTGCAATTTACATATATGCAAAAACGCATAAAAACGCATATTATAATGACGCGGGTGTGCATGCGTGGGTATGTGTGTCTGTCCTGGTATTTTAAATTAGCAACCGAGCAAGCTCCGGTGTCGAAACTTTGCCAGCGGATTCCTCGGCCAAGTGGCACTCAAGCACTGCGGTATCAATTCTCACGCACTTCTGGGCTCCCATATGGAAGGGTGAAAGTTTTGGCGAGAAAATCGCTAACTCAGGAACCAAAAAAACTAGAAAGCTGAAATTTTGAGGTCTTTTTTTCCGTCCACATAGAACTCAAAGATTTTAAATTCAGCCTCAGGTGTACGTGATCCTCTAATATGGCCCCGTGTAATTTTTTGATGGAAAAATGGCTAACTCAGGAATCAGAAAAACTGGAAGGCTGAATTTTGAGGGGATATCCCAGCCCACGTACAACTCGATGTTTTCAAATTCAGCCTCCAGTTACACGTGGTACTCACGTACGACCTCATGAAAGTTTTTGACGGGAAAATCGCGAGCTGAAAGACTGAAATTTTAACAGAATGTTCCCTTCCCAAGTGCCAAGTGGCAGCTGTACAATTGACTTCCTGAAGTTTGGGGACCGCATTTCACAAATTCTAGCTACTGGAATTCCAAGCGATTTTACAACAGCGCAGAATACTGCAAAAACGCATAATGAACCGAGCTCACCTGGTGCGCATCACCAATTATTTATTTGAAAGTCAGTAGTAGTTAAAGAGAAAGTAATGTAAAGTAAGAAAGAATATCATCTGCATCTTATTTGACGCCAAGAATATGAATCAGTTGAAGGTGACTATTCTCATTTTTGGTAGGCATACGGTTTCCGTAGCGATGCATTTTTCCGCGGTGGAGATTGAATTTTTGGTCGGCTTCAATTGACTGGCGGTTGCACGAAGCTTTTCTACATATTTTTGTGCAGTAACGTATTATTATCAAGATGTAATATATTTCGCCACGCTTCGCTTTTAACATTTATTGATAAAGGTTATGCAAAACAATTCGGAAAGAATCTGAACGGTTCGGAGTAAATGGACCATCGTCAACTAACGTCAACTAACGAAGGAGGGCGAATTTACCGCGCCCTCTCAAACAACGAGACTGTTTCTGCGTGCAGCTCTGCCAGTTACAATTGTTATCATTTTTCCTTAAATTCTTCTGAATGGACAAATTTTCGGAGCTGTTGTGGCAGCCGGTTATCGGTCGCGGAAAAAAACTTATTAGATGTAAGAGCCGGAACCAGCAGATCGTCATTATTCGCTACATAGGTAGCAGCGGGCACCTGGGTTTCCGAAGTGATCATGTCTTTTTACGCGAATCATAAAGCAAACAAATTGTGAAAAATACGAATATCTGCTGTTCTGTAGTTTAACATGTGCTTTCATTTTATCGGTGTTTCTAGTTTTTTCTAGCGTGTAGCAGGGAAAGGTGCGTTGGCTGTAACGTTGCACTGTGGCGCTGCATTTCTAACACGTATGATTGGCATTAACAAAACTATCAACAATTTTGCACCTTTGATTTCACCGTATCGTATCAGTAGGCGAGGCGTAGGTATCAACGAAGTCAGTCCTGATGTTTTTGGTGACGAGACAAATTATTGCAAATTTTCTGCTTTCTTGTCTAACTGTTTACCAAAAGAAAACAAGGTATTGCAAGGTGTTGCGAGTTGACCACTTGATGCATTTGTCTGACAAATAAAAGCTCATTTTGCGGATATTGGATCGCAAATGAACAGCAGTCATCTTCTCAAAATTGCGGCTTCTTGTTCAGCCTAGCTGCAGAGTTAAATAGGCGCCAAGGTTGTCCAAATTTAAAATTTTGCTTATGTTTAACGTGAGACCTAGTCTGCACCGTTCATAAGTCGATTTCAACAAGCGCCGTCACTTTGATGGAGGAAATTTTCATAAAAATTGATAAAGAAGTGGAAATATTACTCCCTGTGAGAATCTTCATTGATCGCTGGGAAGTGTGATGCCCACAACGCCATGGCTTCAGCATTCTGGCTTCTGAGCAGCCACGTGACCACTTTTCGTTTCGCGTTCATTAGCCGCCGCTTGTGGCGTCGCGTATTGTCTAATTCTTCCCGATAACGCATCGCTTCCAAAAGTGCTTCAAACTACAATGTTTGCAGTTTAGTTTTGCATTATGTGCAAGTCAGCATCCAAATTTTCGTTATAAACAGATTAAAGGTCAGCCGTTTCCGCCTGCCTTTATGCACAGCTAATAGCTGCAACTGGTTTGGACAGGGCTTTGAGGTCGAAAAAGCCCATGAATTCGATTCAGACACTAGCTACTTGCCACTGTTTGTTGTCGAGCTGCAAACGACAGCAGTATAGTATCGCGTATGATACATTTCAGAGCATCATTCACTATTTGATACTTATGAAAACCAGTGATGGGACTGACAGTCTTCGTTGAATCAGATCATGAGGTCTAAGAATTTATTTTGACTCCGCCTGTGGCGGTTCGTTTTATCTTTCCCAGTACTTTTTTATTTTACCTCTATCTTCCTCGCAAAGACCTATTGCGGTTTAAATCTTTTTCTATTTTCATAGGTTTGTTCACAAGTTTTTTTTTGCCAGTTACTAGAATGAGAGCGGCGACTTCTATTCTCCGAAAATTGTTTAATATTTGATTTGTGATGAGTTTATTTTTGCACAATGGTGACTTAAAAGAGAAGACTATCAGTGTGCGAAATTCCTGCTAACTCGTTGTTGAGGCAGCACTCTTGAAGGAGAAGATAGTAGCACAAGAAGATATTGTCGTCTACCTCAACAGCGCTAGACGAAGAATTGATTGAGCGCGTCATTAACATAAAGATAACCGCTGACAGCATGAGCAAAATGGTGACTGTGTACAGGGCCGGACCTGCTCCCGAACTGTCTCTGCTGCTACTGAAATTGGACTGCACCGGATGACTGAAACATTGGCAATTATAAATAATTGGCCAACACACGGGCTGCCCGTACGAAGATGCGTTTTTTGCGTAGCTCCCCGTAGATTTTTGTCGCTAACGGCACTGGTTTTTCTGGCAGATGCTTCTAGCTAAAAGAATTT